CCTACAAAATTAGAGGTATGTATGGTATGTATGTCGGTTGGGGGAGAAAGACATACCTAGAAAAGAAGCGGTATGTCTGTATGTATGCATGGTCCAAACGTACATACCTCAAAAGCAGGGGTATGTATGTTTGTCGGAGACATAGAAGAGTCGTACATACCCATCATGTATGTATGTCCGGGGAAACATACATACCCTGTATGTATGTATGTATGTATGTAGGTATGTATGTATGTATGTCCGGGGAAACATACATACCGAGTAAATTACAGGTATGTATGGTATGTATGTATGTCTGGGTACATGTGCAACACAGACGTGTATGTGGCCAAAGAGTGCAGGTGGTATTTATGTATGTCAAAGGTATGTATATCTGGGGACACATACATACATACCTATTGTTTCCCCAGACATACATACATACCTATCATTTTCCAGGTCTGTATGTTTCCTACATACCTCGTTTGCGGAGGTTAGTAAATATCTAGCAGGCAACCCCTGCCTCCCCCCCCCATCTAGGTATGTATGTATGTATGTATGTCGAAACATACAGACGTAGCAACTATGGGTATGTATGTATGTCTGGGTGTGAGTCTGGGGAAACATACATACCTAGAACATTATAGGTATGTATGTATGTCTGGGGAAACAAACATACCTAGAAACTCGAGGTATGTATGTATGTCAAAGGTATGTATATCTGGGGAAACATACATACCTGGAAAATGATAGGTATGTATGTATGTCTGGGGAAACAATAGGTATGTATGTATGTTTGGGCTAACATACATACTTTGTTTTCGGAGGTTAGTAAGTATCTGGCAGGTATCCCCTGGCTCCCCCCCTATCAAGGTATGTATGTATGTATGTATGTCGAAACATACAGACGTAGCAACTATGGGTATGTATGTATGTCTGGGTGTGTGTCTGGGGAAACATACATACCTAGAAAATTATAGGTATGTATGTATGTCTGGGGAAACATACATACCTAGAAACTCGAGGTATGTATGTATGTCAAAGGTATGTATATCTGGGGAAACATACATACCTGGAAGATGATAGGTATGTATGTCTGTCTGGGGAAACATACATACCTAGAAAACTATAGGTATGTATGAATGTATGTCTGGGGAAACATACATACGTAGAAACTATGGGTATGTATGTATGTCTGGGGAAACATACATACCTAGAAACTAGAGGTATGTATGTATGTCAAAGGTATGTATGTCTGGGGAAACATACATACATACCTAGAAACTCGAGGTATGTATGTATGTCAAAGGTATGTATATCTGGGGAAACATACCTTCCTGGAAAATGATAGGTATGTATGTCTGGGGAAACATACATACCTAGAAACTAGAGGTATGTATGTATGTCAAAGGTATGTATATCTGGGGAAACATACATACCTGGAAAATGATAGGTATGTATGTATGTCTGCGGAAACATACATACCTAGAAAACTATAGGTATGTATGTATGTCTGGGTGTGTGTCTGGGGACACATACATACCTAGAAAATTATAGGTATGTATGTATGTCTGGGGAAACATACATACCTAGAAACTCCAGGTATGTATGTATGTCCAAGGTATGTATATCTGGGGAAACATACATACCTGGAAAATGATAGGTATGTATGTATGTCTGGGGAAACATACATACCTAGAAACTAGAGGTATGTATGTATGTCAAAGGTATGTATATGTGGGGAAACATACAGACCTGGAAAATGATAGGTATGTATGT